GTTTGTTTTGATTTACTATTTATTTTTTTAGGCTAATGGTAAAATTGCACTATTGTGGTAAATGTTTGTTTTGATTTACTTTTTTTTTTAGGCTGTCAAAATTGCACTGCAAATGTTTGTTTTGGTTTGATATTTATTATATTTTTTAGGCTGATATGTCAAAATTTTACTACTGTGGTAAACATTTGTTTTGGTTTACTATTTATTATTTTATATTGATGTGTCAAAATTGCATTACTGTTCTAAATGTTTTATTGACTTTAAAAATATATGCAGATTAAAAGGGTTGTTAATCTTTGCCCTCACACTATTGTTATTGTGCACTATTGTTATTTGTATTCTCACAATATTTGTACCTGTAAACACATTTTTTAAAAAGTTTTCCAGTATTACATAACTGTAAATCACAAAATAAAAACAGGGACAGTCAAAATAAGGCAGAAAATATATTATATAATTTCTATACTGTAAAAAAGGCTGTCAATTAGCACTTCTTTTTTAGGTTGATGTGTCAAAATTGCACTGCTGTTCTAATTTTTTTTATTGACTTTATATTTGCAAATAAAAAGGGTTGTTAATCTTTGCACTCACATTGTTTTTGTGCCTATTTGTATTCTCACTATATTTGTAGTTGCAAAAACATAAAAAGAAAAAAGTATTCCAGTATTACATAACCGTAAAACACACAATAAAAACAGGGACATTCAGAATAAGGCAGAAAATATAATTGTTTATACTGTAAAAAAAGGTGTCAGTTAGCACTGCATAATTCATATATTTTCTTATGAAAATGCACCAAGAAGATGGCTTGAAAAACACAAATCGTGTATTTTTGCAGTGACTATTCACGTTTTATCAGTCAAAACATTTCGGCTTTTTTTATCCAGTGACAGCTGGATGCCTTTGTCCATATAAGGTATTTCCTGTAGCGTGCGTCACAAGTTAGTACCTCTACGAGTCCGTTTTGGACTTTCTGCGAGAGAGCGCCCTCCGGCGTCCAGTGTGAACGAAACGTACATAACGTGAGAGTGTTTACGTTGGATAGTGCCCAAATTAAAGTGTGGGGGACGAATTTACGTTTGATTAAAATGCGGGGGACAATGATGATGAGACGCGTGCACCAGCAGCGTCAAAACGGACACATTCCAGGAATTCCATCACTGGTCGGAGCGGGCCGCGGAACAGGCGCCTCGCCCAACAGGCACCACCCTTGGTGCAATGGATAATGTGTCTGACTATGCATCAGAAGATTCTAGGTTCGACTCCTGGCTGGCTCGCTCTGTGTTTACTTTTCTCAGGCTGTTTTTGTAATTTTTTTATTTTTCGAAAAGTCCAGAAGAAAAGGCAAATCTCAACGCGTCTGACTAATGATCAGAAGATTCTAGGTTCGACTGCTACAAGTAGATAACGGTTACCATGCGTGTTTTCAAATGCATGACGTGAGTATTTTCACCTGGACAAGACTTTAATTACCAGTTCAAGGTATCTATTCAGCAATCACAGGAATCTGCCAAAAAAACTGAACCCCTTGGGCGAGCCAAACAACAGATTCCTTGAATGCATGCAACACGATTTAATTCAGTATCCCTTCGCATAATTCTTGTTTTGTTAAATTATTCTCACATTGTTAAGTCACACACCAAAAGCCATAGGCCACTCCAAAACCCTGCCCCCACACTGGCCACACGTATGGAAAGTGGCCCACAAGCCTGTGGCCAGTTCAGGGCAGTTCCCATATGGACTAGCGGCGGCCTGGGTTCGAGTCCCGGTATGGGAAGCTGGGCTCCTTTTTGCTTTTCTCCTCAAAAAGCCAGCACGTCTTCCTGCACCAGAAGTGATTTTTGGCCAGCAGTAGAGCTGCAGAACCCTGATAGGTTGAGGTTCTGACTAACACCCCATTCCTTCGATAGTGGTGCCTGAGGACCGAGCATCTGTCTAATATCAACGAATCACGTCTCTGCATTTCTCTCTTATGACAGCCCATCAGATTTCGCCATTTCCATTTTATGCATTTTATGACAGCCAATCACCGTGGCCCTTTTCTATCCTGAAGAGGGGATGCAGGAGCATGCACATTAAGTCCGCCTCCCATCGCTCACAGCGAGTTATTTTTATATATTTTTGTGAGTTATTTTGGGGAAAAAAGCCACCGTTAAGTCAGTCTTTGAACTTAGCGTCTTGGGAATTTAATCCACGCAGGTAAGATTCCTCAATTTAACTAGCTAGCTAAAACTAAGAAAACCCCTATAGGAGTTAACGTAGTTTTTTAAAATAAACTTTTACATTGTTTTAGGTAAGGTGTTGTTTTATTTAGTTCGCTAGCTAGCTATGAATGAATGAATTAATTAATTAACGGAGCTACTTGAAACGTATTTTCAACAGAGAAACAAACGATTTACATTGTTATAATTACTAATCTATAATGTTGGTATACCGTTGGAGCAATACCTGATATTGTGTTCACTTTTAACACCCAAAATTAATGAGTTTTGTGTTGTATTCAGGTGTTGCACCTGTTATAACAGGAGACTTTGTGTTTACCAACTGCACTGTAAAAAGTGATAAGTTGACTTAACCTAAAAAAATTGAAGAAACCCGTTGTAAATAATAATAAAAAATAAGTTGTGAACTTGACAATTCACTTAACTTATTTTAAAAATTTATTATTTACTTAATAATTTTAAGGCAACGGGTTTCCTCAATTTTTTAAGTTGTTAACTTATCATTTTTTACAGTGTGATAAACTTAATATGATTGTACTAAATTACTTCTATATATTCTACTACTATACTACTATGCATTAATATATTATACACTGAGGTGAAATGTAATAGAATTTGCTGATTTACAAATGCTATCTATGTACAGGATTTTTATAGTAGTGAGTTAAAACTACCCACGTATATGGTTATACCATGTACTGAATAGTTACAAATTTAAATTTAATAGTTACAATTTTATTTACTCTAGTAATGGAAGATGGCTTCCAAACACAAAAAGCACAGGGCTATGGGCGACGAGGAGTGGATGTCGCGCCTGCGAAAGTTTGCTGCTGTAGGGGTCTGGCCTTCTGAGGCAGGAAACAGGCCGGCACCCCGCCAGAGAATCATTAGTATTATTTTTTTATTATTACATTTAACAGGTTCCAAGTGAGCAGACCACTGCACCCTCTGGCTCAACAGATGTCCCCACCAGCCTAGCCTCTGCTCCTCCTTACATTTCCATCGTCTCAGCCTCTCTTGCCACTACTCCAACTACAGGTCCCTCTGGGCCACCTGCCATGACTCCTGCAGCACCACAGCAACAGCTGGTAGGTCTTTTGTGACATGTAAACAGTGTGAAAGATGTGCTATTTTTCTGCCTGTGATATTGTTTTTATTTTATTTTTATATATTCATATATTTGCCAGGCTGTGGATGAGCACAATATCCCAGGGATGGACAGAGTGGACAGCCTGGCACAGTACTTGGTGGGACTCAGGAATGAAACTGGACAAACACTTACCTCCCAGCTGGCCAGTACCGTCATAGCTCTGTGGCAGAACCTTCTACCATATGACCAGCAGCGTGTGGCGTACTCTGCACGGCACCAGTTGCGTCTGACAACAGGACGCTTCAAGTGCTCTAAAAAGAAACCTGAATTTACGCCGGGTGTGGAGAGCATGACACGTTGTGTCCTAGGATCTACAGGATCCGCTGCCCAGTGGCCAGATTGCTGTCGTCTGGTAGAGTGCATTTTTGTAAAACTCTGTGACATCCATAAAAGTCCAAAAAAACAGGGTAAATATGCACTGACTAGATGGACTCTAATTCTCAGAGACTACAGCAAGATCAGACAGCTGGTCCTGGGTAATGGTGCAGTCATGCAGAGCTCTACTCTGCAGTTGTTTGATGTTAATCAAACAACTCTTATTCAGTGGCACAACAAGCGACTGAAGAGGCAGGAATGTAATATTCTGCTGCAAGGGGTCAACTTGCCTGCCTCCATTCCTGTTGCTCCTGTACCTCTCCCACCAGTACAGGTACGCTGCGTCTGACAACAGGACGCTTCAAGTGCTCTAAAAAGAAACCTGAATTTACGCCGGGTGTGGAGAGCATGTCACGTTGCGTCCTAGGATCTACAGGATCCCCTGCCCAGTGGCCAGATTGCTGTCGTCTGGTAGAGTGCATTTTTGTAAAACTCTGTGACATCCATAAAAGTCCAAAAAAACAGGGTAAATATGCACTGACTAGATGGACTCTAATTCTCAGAGACTACAGCAAGATCAGACAGCTGGTCCTGGGTAATGGTGCAGTCATGCAGAGCTCTACTCTGCAGTTGTTTGATGTTAATCAAACAACTCTTATTCAGTGGCACAACAAGCGACTGAAGAGGCAGGAATGTAATATTCTGCTGCAAGGGGTCAACTTGCCTGCCTCCATTCCTGTTGCTCCTGTACCTCTCCCACCAGTACAGGTACGCCCCACTGCTGCACCACCACGGCCTGGACCACAACATCACTACCACTTGCCTCAAAGTACAGCAGGACAAGCAGTGGACAAGAGGAAGACTGCAGCTCCGGCCCAACACACCCATTCTCTGCAGTCTGCCTGCCCAAGGTTGCCAGCTCAGAGGCAATTGTTCCCTCAGCAGACATCTCCACCTACCCCTGCCCCTTTGCCTACTGTTTCCAGCCCCAGCCCTGCCAGTGGCCCACTTGTGTATGTGTTTTTGGCCCCACAAGTCAATGCATACAAACGGATTGCTCCTGCTGGCCCCCTTTCCTCCCCACCACCTGCCCGGAGGCCTTACAATCGGAAAGTTGACAAAAATAAATGTAGTCAGTGCCAACAGCCCCGGAACAAAGAAAGTGGCCACAGCCAGTATTATGGGTACATATACTGTCCCCAAAATGCTGGTATTCCACTTGACCAGTGGATGGAGGAGATGCGGAAGAAGAGGGCAGATAAGAAATAGATTGGTTTGTCTTTAAGTCAAGACAAACCAATCTGTCCCTTAAGATGGCGGCGCGTTCACACGCTGCGGCTTCTCTCTCTCCCGACAGAAAGGTGTTTTCGTGTTTTTTGTCTCGTGAGTCGCAGTGTTTTTGTACGTATTCGTCGCGTCTATCTGTCTCTAAGCGTGCATACAGTCGTGAGTTTCTGCTCGATGTCGGCAGAACCACATTTTTAGAGTTAAACTCTGCGCACGCCGAAGAGCTGCGGGATCTTGGTCTGCTCCGGAGGCCCACACCATCACCGACCCCCACTACTGCATCTCGCCCACAGCAGAGGCGCCACAAGCGGCGTGAGAGGAAGCAGAAGAGGGGTAAGCGCGGAGGTATCCGGGCTAGGCTAGCGGCTAACCCACACAAGCCAGCTATCCCCACCATCGTACTGGCTAACGTACGCTCTTTGGACAATAAACTGGACTACATCCGACTACTACGCTCAACTCAGAGGACTGTAAGAGACTGTTGTGTTTTTGTGTTCACGGAAACATGGCTCAACAACAGCGTTCCGGACTGCGCTATTCATCTCGATCAGCTGACATGCTATCGAGCGGACAGAGCTCGCGTCGAGGGAGGTAAGACCCGCGGCGGAGGGCTTTGTGTTTACATCAATGACGTGTGGTGCCGCGATGCTGTTGTGGTCTGCAAACACTGCTCACCCCTGGTGGAGTTTATGATTATTAAGTGCCGGCCGTTCTATCTACCGAGGGAATATACAGCCATACTGCTCGTTGCTGTATACATCCCTCCCAGCTCCAACAACAGCAACAGGAGCGAGGCACTAAATGAACTGTACCAGCACATCAGTGAGCAGCAGACAGCCCACCCCGATGCTTTTCTAATCTTGGCTGGGGATTTCAACCATGCAGACTTAAAGAGTGTGTTCCCAAAAATACACCAACACATAAACTTTCCAACTCGGGGAAACAACATTCTAGAATTTGTTTACACCACACAGAGAGGAGCTTACAAGGCCCTCCCCCATCTTGGCACCTCTGACCACATCACTGTCATGCTAATGCATGCATACAGCCCACTCGTTAAAGTCACCAAACCAGTTCACAAACAGAT